TAAGCTCACTGCTGCAGTCGCTGTGTTGAGAGTCATTTTGTGGCCGAGTCTTCCTCTTTTCCGCAGACCCTCTGCTTTTCCAAGCATGGCGTCATTTTTTCAGGAACTGCCTGCTCTTGATAACATGCCCAAAGTATGTGAGATGAAGTCTCACCATTCTTGCTTCTAAGGAACACTCTGGCTGCACTTCGTCCAAGACAGATTGTTCTTTTTTTTTTTTTTTCTTTTTGGCAGTCCATGGTATATTCAGTACTATCTGCCAACACCACGGTGCAAAGGCATTGCATTTTCTTCATTTTTCCTTAGTCATGGTCCATCTTTCACATGTCTATGAAGCAATTGAAAGTACCAAAGCTTGGGTCAAATGCATATTAATAGCCACTAATAGAATAAAGAAATAAGAAAATGAGTTGAAAAGATACTTGTTAAAGATAAGTAAAATGTTAACATTCTTTTCATGTCTCCTCTCCTGTTTCCTATAAGTGGATTCTAGCTTTTAGAACTCTTCTGCATTTCCCCCTTAAACAATACTTATCTTGCAAGTCTATGATCAGGTTAAGATCCATGCGTTTTCCAGTCTAAGTATTTTCATATTTAGTAAAAAAATTTCCTAAAGCCACCATAGGAATGACATAAGATGATGACTGAAGATGAATTGATGCCTTTGAGTTGTGGTGCTGGAGAAGAGTCTTGAACATACCATGGACCACCAGTAGAACAAATAGGTCTGTCTTGGAGAGGGTGAAACCAAGTTTTTCCTTGGAGGTTAGGACTTTGAAGCCCCATCTCACATACTTTGGGTTCATGGCTAAGGAGGGACCAGTCCTTAGAGAAGGACATCATGTTTCTCCATGAAGCGTGGTGGAATGGTGGCGGGATGACACAGAAAAGGAAAACCCTAAGTGAGATGGATTGACATGGTAACTGGGGAAATAGGATTAAGTGTGTCAGAGTCCCTGAGACTGGCTCAGGGTTCAGAGCTGTTGTACATAGGGCTGCTATTAGTTGCTGGTGACTTGATGGTACGTAACAACCACCACCACCATAGGAATGGAGGAGGATGTGTATAGGATATTACTGATCCTAAAGGAGATATTCTGGAAGCAGGAGCGGCATCCACTTCCGACATGGCTTGCCTCCGGAAACTCTATGTATGAACAGTGCTCAGGCCGTTCGTTCATAGGGTCGCTATGAGTCATCTACGACTCGACGGCATCAAACAACAACAAACAACAAAGGAGATATTATGAATCCTCTATATTTCTAAGAAAATTCACCTGGGTATCTGTCTTACTTATCTTTCAAAGAGGCAGTCTGTAGAAGTGAACGCTGTCAGGGATATAGTTAGTGCTTCACCTTACTCTTTCCAGAGCTTGCTGGAGCTGTGAATATTGCAAGTGCTGTCAAGTTGGCCCCTACTTTAGGGTGACCCAATGCAAGCTGGGATTGAGAGAGTTTTCATGGGCTGATTTTTCAGAAGTGGATCACCAGGGTGCTCTTCTGTCAGTCTGAGAGCTCTGCTGAAATCGGTTCAGTCTTACAGCAACACACAAACTTCCATTGACAGACACATGATGGCAGCACTCAGATTAATGGTTGTGAATTGAACCCAGACTCCTCCATAGAAGGTGAGATTTCTATCACTAAATTTAATGGTAAAAATGAATGTCAAATAATTAGTGGTAAGAAGCTGCACTGCAACCCCAAAGGCATATGGTTCTAATTCACCAGTTGCTCCACAGGAGAAAGATCTCCTCCCACGCTATTTACTACCTCTGAAAACCCACTCGAGGATCAGCTGTGGGTCATTTCCAGCTCGGTGACACACAGCATCAACAATAACAACAACAATTTGTTTAAATAGCTCTCCTTTTGTATAAGAACAAACTGTTAAACTGTCTACTAACTTGAAACAATTACTCAAGAGACCTTTAAAAAGATTAAGTATGATATTTGAGCAGCTGATATTTGAAAAAAAAAAAAAAACAACAAACCCAAACAACCCTCTGCTTTTGAAGTATAGTTAAAAATGGAACTCTGGCTCAGGGACACTTAACTGTTAATTTAGTAAGAGAAGAGTCGGTGCATGGATAAAGTAAAGAGGGAAGAGAAAGGAGAAGAAATAATTTTGTAAAATAGAATACATATCCAGGACCCTCAAACTCAAGTGTCTTTTACAACAATAATTTCTCTATTCTTTATAATTTTCTCTCTAGTCTTTTAAAATCGTTGAGAAGAGCTCTGACTAATTTAGAATTCAATTTACTGATCTGAGGGATGAATGACACTGTCACTGTAATTTGGTTTTCCATTAGTGTGCCTGAGTGCCACATTCCATCTACTTACTGTGTTTAGTCTTTGCAGCTCCCCACTCCCCGTAGAGGAAAAGTAGGAATTGGTGCTTGGTTCTGTCATGGGCTTATACATTTGTTTTCTAAACTCCTTATAATAACTTAGTAACTTTCAGACCCTCAAAATCAGAGGGAATAAATAAAAACAGTGAAGATTATTTTATTCCACAGTAAGGAACTAGAAACAAAATTTAATATACAAATTAGCACGTCTTAGAATATCACAGGGTTTGGTTTGTTGGTTAAGGGGTTCCCCCCCCACCCTTCCCTTTCCAAAATGAAGTCTGCTAGTTTCTGTGTCTAGGTCCATCTGGCAATTCTGCATACAATTTTGCTTTGGAAGTGAAAAACAAAAAAACAAAACAAAAACCAGCCAATCAAACACACCATCACCACCATCACCAAAAGAACTATAGGAGGAAAAGATTTAAAATGAGACAATTTTCTTAGAGTTTTGGTCTAAGTCAGAGTTACTGAAGGTTTTGAGCACATCTCCAAATGAAATATCCTGTGTCAACTCTTGGGATGCATTTGCCTTTTCCCAGGCAGGCAGGGAATAATTGAGGTGGCTTCCTGGGTAAAGCAGGGGTGGAGAAGTTGGCATTTCCCACAGTGTCCCAGAGGGAGAAGAGTGGATGTGCTGTTTCCATGGACACACTAGCGCTCCATTTTTCCTCTAGGTGGTGACAAATGTGACTGGCCTTAGTCTGGTGAGAGGTTAGGGCACTCACAAACTGTTCCTATAACCTTCCTCAATTCCCCCTCCGCCCCATAACCTTTATGCAAGTATGTAACTTCTATGACAGAATTACCTTGTGATATTATTTAAGAGATTTGCTTAACTCTTGGCTTAATTTTTAGAACTTGACAGGAACAAGTGCCAGAACCAACTAACAGAGTAATTAAAAAAGTCATGACATCATTTTACAAAAAGAGAGGTTACACAACCTGTATCTTGAGGTACCTGCTTATTCTCCTATTTACTTTTAAGGTGCTAAGACTCTTGCTCTAGCTCTTGTTACATGTGAAGGAGTGAGGATTCTTCCTTTTTCTGAATAACTTGTACATGGTCTTATCTTTAGAATCTATGTTGCTTTAGTAAGAGTTATAAAGTATGTTGGAATAAATAAGATTTAAATAAAGGTATGCCCTAATTGAATAATACAAATATGGAACAAACAAGGGATTATTTGTATATTTCACTGGACATCTGATTTCATTTAGTTAATTAGGAGATAGAATTATTAAAAGAAGCCAAGCTTGTACCCACACAGCTCACATAAACTAATGAAGTAACCTTTAGACAACAGCTGTAATGTAAAAGGCCTACGCCAAAAACAACAGAGCACAGCTAAGTTCCTGTCCCTTCTCACAGGACAGCTGAAACTGTAGCTGACTTTAGCAACATAAAAAGAACAAATAAAATAAACAACAGTCCAAACGGGGATTTTCTGAAGAAAGGAAAATGTATGAATCGGAAGTTAGACCTTAAAAAAAAGGCATTGTCTTATTGAAAGATGCCAATCTTATCAGCGAACTCCTCCTGGTTCCTTATCATTAGCCAAGAAAACATTTCAATTTTTTGAATGCTTTTTGGGTGGGCACGAAACATTGCTATGTATCCATTTAATGAGAATGCTAAATGGGGATTTCCATTCTGTTTTTTACTCTTGAGTTTTTAAGAGTAAGGGAAATTCCTATTACCCACGCTGCTTTAGCATGAACAATTTTTAAAGTAGAAACATTTTTTTTTTCTGACAGGTAGGTACAGTGGTAAAAAATGCTGAGAAATTGGGGTGCCAATTTCCAAAGAAATTTACCTTTAAATATTCTATCAAGTTGAGGCTCATGATAAGTGATTGCTCTGTAGATTTCCAAGTTCCTGCCCAATACAGGGCTTTATCAAAATTAAAGTTTAAAAAGAACAACCAAAACAAGCCCTAGATCATTTCATTTCTTGTTTTGATCCTTCCCCAGAACAAATATTAAAAATACAACTATTTTCCTTCCCACTATTAACAAAATTTTCTCCCCAATCCACTGCATGCACGGCATTCCTTCATCAGGATCTTATTCTGCTAGAAATGGATGTCTTAGAACTAACTAATCTGCTACGTGCTTTTACACATTTTGCCGTTGTTTAACGCTGAAGTGCGCTAACATTCATTTGAATTCTATTAGCTTTCAGGAACACACACACAACCAGAAACTGCATGCAACACATTATAGAATGAAAAGTTTAGGTAGTGGATTTCCCCCTCCCGCCTTTCCTCCTTCTCTTTAAAAAAGTAATTTTTAATATACTTTTATAAAAGTTCTCAAGGTGAAGATCTCTGACCTAATGTTGTCAAATAGAAATTGAAAAAGACTGCATTTCTAAGGCGCTACCCAAACCGCATTAAAAGCTTCTGCCGGCTGTTTAAAATGCAGCCACAGTCAGCACGAAAATCAAGGACGTTTTTGCCTTGCGCTCAGGTTCCAAAGCCCCGAGGGTCACAAAGGGTTAAGAGCAAAGCCGAGAAGCGGTGGTGAGGGCTGACAGCTCTGCTTTTCCACTTCCAGGGGCTCCGAGGCAAGGACAACCGAGCGACGTGTCTGCCGTGCCTCTGAGCAACCACCTTAATGAGTTATAACTGTATGCCGACTTACTGTGATGGCCTGCAGTCTTTCCTTCACCAGCTCAGCTTCTTCCATTCTGGAAATCAAGGACAGGCAGCCAGGCAAGGAAGTTCAAAACTACCATAAAGCAAGGCGCCTCCTTGGGGATCCGAGTAGGGGCGACAGAGAAGAGGCCGGGAGGAATCCGTTCTTCTTTCCACCGGGGGAGAAAAGGAGAAATTCCCGACTTGTCAGGAGCGTCTGTGAGCAGATGCACAGATGAGGTCAGACAGACACATGTAATGAGGGTGTGCTGGGGAGGAGACGCTGAGGCTGCTGGCACGAGTTGACTGACAAGTTTGAACGGCAGCGGCACAAGCCCTTTTTTTCCTTCAGGAGCTGCCAGCTCTTTGTTGTAATGTGCACAGTTAGCAAGGCACATATTCTTATTAACTGTTCCATACCCAATTCATTATTTTCTGGGAGTGGCACTGGGAGCCAGCAGGCGGAAGGTTTAATCAGCCTCGGCGCACTAGTGACACACAACTGGCCCTGGAGATGTGGGTCTCTGGGTGTTCCTACAAAGTTAGTTTACCTGCGCTTTCTGGCTCCGGAGCTCACGAAGAAGAGAGTCTTACCTGGATTGGGGCAGAAATGCCTAGTCACTTCTTTGCCTTTCTGTTTTCTGATTGGCTTAAACAAAACAAACCAAACCAATAACAACAACTCACTGCCCTTGAGTTAGTTCTGGCTCCTTATGATCCTTGGAGTTTCCAACACTTGTAAATGTTAAGGAGGAGATTGCTCACCTTTCCCCAGAGAAGCACCTGGTGGATTCGAACCAGTTAACAGGGCAGGGCGCGACAGACTGCGCCACCAGCGCTCTTTCTTTACATCATAATAGAAAAATTGGAGTTAGATCGTAATAAAAAGTTATATAATTATTTTAGATTTTTAATATAGTGATAGATTTAAACCAGGCTGTCTTCACCCCTACCTCTGCTTCCCTTTTTTAGGAGTTTGTTTCAGATTTTGCAATCTTTGGGTCACAGAACTGAAAGGTGTTAACCTGACTATATATATTCAGCTTTTGGCCCACTGTCCGTATTCAATGTGGATCAGATCCTTCTGTTATTTCTTGACTTGGATGGTATGAAGTTCTTCCTTGGACCTCGTTCAGAAATGACACTCTGGCCTTTTAGGAAGGTGCCCATTTTGACCTCACCGGTTACGCAAGAGAACAGAGCGAGCCTCTGAAAATGCAAGGTCTTACACTGTAGCTGACATTTAATGTGCAGCCTGGCACTGAATGTGGGTGTGCTCTCTGTCTGTGGACAAACAGGCTGGTCCAACGAAACCCCTTGGTCACAGCAGTCTGCGAGGTTTTGCAATGCACTGTATTTTCACTCCCCTATCATTTCTTTAATTAAATTTACATTTAGTAAATCCTAATTACTGTCTACCTCATTATTATGTGTTAGAATGCTATCAGGCACTCTATATCAGCATTCAACTGAAGAGGTTAAAAGGATAACCCAAACAGCATATGGATATTGTGTACCATCGAGTCAGAACAGACTCATTACTGCTGACCCTCTGGCTGGTTTTCAGAGGCAGTTAATCGCAAAGGAGGAGATTGGAGATTGCCCATCCTTCTCCTGTGGAGCAGCTGGTGGATTTGAACCATGTACCTTATGCAGTGCAGCTTGGTACCACTAGGCCACCATAGCTCCCTTAGTTATGCTTAAAGACATTGAACAAATAGTAGGAAAAGAAAAATTAGTCGCTACTAGTGTAATTCCCCCCCCTTGCATAGCTTCTATTTTAGGAATCTCAGATGGTTTTGTCCTTAGTATGTTTCACTGTTTTTCCTTTATATTTTTATAACAGTTATAGAAAAAGCTAATATTCTCTCTGTAGGCAAATGTTTTATATCCAATTTATCTTACATGAGACTGAGAGATGGGTGCTATTAGCCCTATTTAAAAAATAAGGAAACAGGCTCAGAGAAGTAATTTGCCACAAAGTAAGGAAGTAACAAAGCCAGGATTTTTTTAATGGTTACTCACCAAGGATTGCCTGACTACCCAGGGCATGGAGTGGTACAAGTCTTCAGATGGATGGAAACCCAGTAGAAATCTGCTCTGGAGAAACAGAGTGGTCCTAACTGAAAACACTTCAACACATTGTCATGTGATGCTACACAACCAAACAATACACTTCCATTCAATCCCTCTAAGGTGAAATCCACTGAATTTACAGAGTTTGAAATCTTACTTGAAAGCAGTTGGCCTTTGTGCATATGTTCTCAAGCAAGACTTTTAGGTGGACTAGAAAATTGGAGAATTGGCTCAGTTTGATGGCAATTGGATGACTACTTAAATGTACAAAAAACCCCAAACCCACCCCAAAACACCAAAGCAAAATTGAACACAACCTTCAAAACTTTGATTTAGTGTATCTGCAATTCCTGGCTGAAATTAAAGACAAGAGAGCAGTACTGATAAATATCTCAGTCAGAATTGCATATTTGCTGCCCAGAACAGACGGGCAGTCATCCAGTTATTAATCTGGATCTTTTCCTAAAAACAATTTGCCTCTCAAATCTCATTTCTGCTATGAAAACCCAAGAGATTTTAAGCGTAGGGGAAAACTAGATAATATAAGATCACTGGGGAATTTAGGAGGGAACAGAATTATGCCAACTGACTTGGTATCTTCTTATGTTTAGTCATTTGGTTGATTGTAAAGCATTTATTTATCCACTTAGTCTACAAATATATTGAGTACTTCATTTACTGGTGTGTCAGGCACTGTGCTAGTTGTTTGGGATGCAAAGATGAACAAAATGCCTGTTCTCCTGGAACTTATGTTATAATAAATAATTACAGATAAACATTAAGAAATTGAAAAATTGAACACTAGAAAATGATTGCATTAGTCTGAGTGTTCTGGAAGCAGATGCCACGATTGTTTAAATGTGCAGAATTTTATTAGGAGAAGTGAATGTCTGACAGCAAATGAGGCAGGAGGCAGAAAAGGCAGAAGCTACAAAAATCGAAAAGAGCTTTCAGATTGTGGCACAAGTCTGATTTGAATGAAGAAAGTAAGGAGGGAAAGTTGGGTAGAAATAGTATGTACAGTCTAATGAAGACTCAGTAAGACCATTGGAGAATCCCAGAGTCAAAGCTATCAGAGAAGTCTTCTGTCTCAAGAATAAATCTGCTTTAGCATTCCTGCCACACTCAATCACTGGTGGGAGCAGCTTCTGGGAAGCACAGTCTTGGTGCAAACAGAGATGGATTTCAGAGTACAACAGCTGGGTCCCTTGGCCAATTATATTCTTGTAGTTGGATGACTATAAGGCACATTCTCATGACAGCCACATTGATAAATGCTATAGAAAGCAGGGGAGAGGGATAAAGTTTCCTAAGTGGTGAAAAAGTTTCCTAAGTGGTGAAAAATTTAGAATTCTTAATGTGAAGGGAATATTCTAACACATCATGAAAAAAAGGAGTGGGAGTTAACCAAAAGAATAATGGTTGGGAGAGCTTCTCAGAAAAAAAAAAGGTAGATTATATATTAATATCAAGGTCAGTATGATTAGAGAGGGATAGCTGAAGAAAAAGTAGCAGGGGATGTGGCTGAACATGCAACCAGTCCCAATTCATGTATGCTTTTCTAGGTGATTATAAAGACTTTGGCTTTTACTCTTCAAGGATGGCACACTATTGAAAAGCTTTGAGCAGAGGAATGCATTGACCTAGTGTGTTTTTCTAAGCTGGAATCAGGGGGACCGAGTAGGACACATTTACATTAATCTAGGTGGGGGTTGATAATGGCTTGGGTTAACGTGGTGGCAAGGAAGGGGCTGGAGTGCAGTTCAATGGATTACCTGATACGGCTTTTCGAGCTATTTTATAGTCTCAAATGTGGAATGAGGTTATTACTGTTGTGAGGTGCCTTCTAATTGCCTATGACTCATGTGACCCTATGAACAATGGATCTGAATCTTGTCCTATCCTGTGTGAGTCCATTGTTCCAGTCAATCCATCTTGCTGAGGGTCTTCCTCACTTTCAGTGACCTTTCCAATCCTATTGTCCTTCTCTAAGGACCCTGTTAACAACATATCCAAAATATATGAGACAAAGTTTCATCATCCTTGCTTCCAAGAGCACCATCGTTGCCCTACTAAGGAGTATTTGTGGCCCACCAAGGGAATTGGATAGCTTGCTGATAATGCTCCTTCTGGGTGGAATCATGCAAATAAGATGTGTAGAATGCTAAAGTGGAATAAGTCAGGTTGAGCATCCTGCTAGCTTACCTTGGACCAGCCCAGAGACAGAAAACAGAAATCTTGCTACCATCCCGGAAGAAGAACCAGACAGGAGACCAAGAGGTTTGGGCCAGAGATATGTGTATAAACCAAGGGAAAGAAAGAACACTGAGAGCTGGGAGATGGTAGTAGTGGGTGTAGGTGGAGAACCCGAGAACTGACACAGAGCTGTGGGCTGCTGGTCTATGGAGTAGAACACTTTAGGCATGTGTGGAGGCTAGGCCTGAAGATTCATGAATTGAGGAAGAATACCTTAAGATCTAGGCTTACTGGTGGATGGGGTATATCACATAATTTGTGGTAATAAAAGATTTGTTACACTTGTCTGAAGAGGATAGAGGGTGAGGCTGCCAGGTCAAGGGGCAGAGAGAGACCTATCTTTCAGCATGATTGAGAAGTAGCTGTCCTTACTAAAGACCTGTATCCTGAATGTTCTCACACCTGAACGATAACTTGTTGCTTCTTTAACAAACTCCATAAACATGAAGATTATCAATTAGTTCTGTATGGTCAGTACAAAGAATTACCGAATTCATTATAGAAGTAGTGAGGGTTGGGGAAGAATGATGGAGTTAGAATTGTCAGAGGAAGCTGTGGAGTATGAGGGGCATGTGTGATCTCTGAGGAATGCCTTTTTGCTGTTGCTGGTAGGGATCTTTCTCCCGTATGAGGCTAGTGGAGGGAAGACCTCGCCTCTTCTACCCCTGCTGCACATGGAAAATTGTACAACTGTAGATATATTTTGAAGATAGAGCCACCATAATTTCTGAGATTAAATATTGGAATTGCATGAAAAAGAAGATTCAAGGGTGACTATACGACTTTTGGCTTGAAACTGCAATTCTAAGTTATCACCAGTTGAGGTAAGATGATTAGTGGGATAGTATTACATTTTAGGTTTTTTTTCCCCTCGAGGGATACTCCAGTTAGTAAGAGCTCAGTTTGGTCAAGCTAATTAACAATCCAAGTGCGGAGATGCTGAGTAAGCAATAAGATATTAGTTTGGCAATAAGTGAAACAGTTTAATCTAGATTTCTAAACTTTATTAAGTCTTTGGAAAGGGTAAGGGTGGCAAGGTACATGGAAATAGAGTTCACAAAGTGCCCTAGTCTAGTGAACTATCTAGAGTTCTCTAGCTGTTAAATATATATGACTACATTCTGCCTTTGTAGAAAAGGGAGAAACAATAGAGCATTATCTGCTTCTAC